TTTCTATTAGTAAAAGCATTATTGTAATGCTCAATATTCAGAGGTGTATGAGATCTAAAACAAAGACTTTTTTTTGCAGTCCTCAAATGTTTTGTGCTTAGTTTAAATGTTAGAAATTGGACACTTTGATTGGCTAGCTAAAATCCCACTCCACCCTTGTCTCCTAAGGTCGAAGGTATGTTCCATACCAGTGTGCCCAGAGCTGAGTTTTGCAGCCTTGGAAGTGATAAGCAAGGCTTTTCTGTTTTTGTAGAATTTGTGTAGAATTTCTTAGCTGTTTCTCAGAGCGTGAAGTTCTTATGATATAAATCTCCCTTACCTTTCCACCCCAGGTAAATCCTTGACCATTGTTGATTTAAGCTTTGTGATTAGAAAGCTGAATTGGAACAGTTTTTCACATTCAGTTTCAAATTCCAAGAGTGAAGATGGTGGTAGAGCTCACTGAAAATTTTCTGTTCCCTGCAGACTTCTAAGAGTTTATAAGCTTGTTTTGTTGCTATATGAGATCGAGTTGAGATCTTGGAAGTTCATTTTGATAAATCTACAATACCATCTTCATTTTGACATGCTACACTATACAGCATTCTAACATGTATAAAGAATGGCTTTAAGTAGAAATGGCATAAGTCCTTCATAAAAGCATGAGCTAAGTAACACGCTATCATAAAATTTTTATTTTTTTGCATTTTCTGATGGTTATGGGTTCTGTCAGAGAAAAATACTTGACAGCTGTTATTGAGAGCAATGATTAAATAGGCAATGGTTACCAAAGCTGCCTTTTTTTGGTTTTGTATGGTAAGTGAGAAAGGTATGAAAAACTAAGCCTCTTTTAAGTTCTGCTTTTTTAATACTGTACAGAAAAGAAAAAAAAAAAAGTATGTTACCTCACATAAAATGAAATTCAGAGTACTCTGAAGTCCTGGGTTTGAAATGCAGTAAATTCAATGGGTGGCAGTTTCACCATCTGTTACCAACTTTGCAGTTCTATGCAACCTTAATTTGATGAGGAAAACACTCTAAAGAGGTAGAATCACATTATTGACTCCATTTGATGTGCATGAAAATTGCAATATAAAAAAAAAAAAAGAAGGAATTAAAAATATGCCTGAAGTATTTTCAAGTGACCTCTAAACCAAGCATCAGTAATAGTGACTTAGGTTTGACAGTTGGTGCATGCCTTTAAAAGTATTTAAAAGTCCTTTAAATGTAGTATCTGAAGTGTCTGGTTTGAAAATGTACAATAAACTGTTCTGGGAACAGTAACTCTCCCAGATCTGTCTTACTACATGGGCATCCAAGCTCCTCTTGGTTTTTCTGCTGCAGTAGCGCCTCACACACATCTCTGCTTGAGTCAGAGTCACTCTCTTGCTTAGCTTTTGATAGCCAGTAAACACCCCAATAGACAGAAGATGAATCATAGACTTCATCATTCAGGCAACTTGTGACTTCTGCCTCCAAAGAAATGTCCCTCTGCAAGGCAACTTGTCATTGGAACCTTCTTCATTCCTTTCTAGTGAGCACTAAGCAGGTAGATATGACTTATTAATCTTACTATCTCTGGTAACAAGCTCCAAAATGTAATTAATGCAGTGCAGATCTTCAGCTCATTTTACAGCATAATAGATGGCTATTAAAGTGTTTCAGGGAGCTATGGAGGCCAACTGTGTGGGTGGCTCTTAGAAGTAGAAAAATACAGGAATGGAGGAAAGTAAAATTAAAATAAGTACTAAATACAGTAGTTTATTTTTTAACAGCAACCTTGTGTGACCCTTTTTATATGTAATCCCTTTTGAGTATTTAAAAAAAAAAAAAAAGGCAAAAGGTGTTGACTTATGCTGTTCTTAGAATGGGAGCACTCAGACTCACAGTGAATGTCTTCCAGCTACTGACATTCAGTAGGCGGTGGAAGCATGGTTAAGGGTCAAAAGAACAGCTTCTCTGTCTGAAATAGAGAAATCTTTATTTTAATCATTTTTTCTTTATCTTAGGAAAAAAATAATCAAAGCTTATTAAACTCTCTTTGGGAGGGTGATACCCAAGACTCGTTTTCATGAAGTTGCTCCCTGAATTTTAAATGTTTAAGTTCCATTTAAATAGTATCATTCTTCTACTGACATTTGGATTTGCATTAAAATGGTTCCAAAGCTTGTCCTACAGCTGCTTGTCAAGTGCTCAGACTGTAGAAGTAAGGGAATCTTGTCACATAACATCTAATTTTTCCGGTTTTGCCTGGCAGCCTGTGACAAGGTCAAAGCACAGCACAAAGTTCTGAGTTAGAGTTAAAAACAAGATATAATAGATTTCTCGATACAGGTGCCTGAATTTGAAACAAATGGAGAAGGGACGTTTTTCCTGGTTGTGGCAATGTAGACAATGATATTGCATTATCCCCTCGCTGGAGCCAAATTATGAGACATGCCAAGTACTTAGTATTCCAAGATAATTTAACATGCATTGAAAACTTTCATTCAGACATTTTTAATGTCCGAGGATTTTGACTAATAATTCTCCTATGGAAGTATTTGCTAGCCAATAGATTTTAGCTAATTACTGAGTGTGAAGACATGATTTCTTGTGGTGGGTTTTTAAACTATACAGTTCCACGGCTACTGTTGCTACTAACTGTTCTGTAACTATGTCTTCAGTGTTGTGAATATAATGCATATGTGGAGCTGTTTCTTCTTTTTTAATTTCCCTTTGCTTTTTTCTCTGAACTTCTGAACACTTGTCTTCATTTTGGAAAGGCATTGCACTGATACATGCAAATGAATTTTCGCTGACAATTCCTTATGTATGTATAAACGCAATTGCATTGCCCACTCAGAACTGAGTCTCAGAAAAAAGTGCAAAGCTGGAGGATGGCAGAAGTACTCAGAGGCCTAGAGTTGGAGGTGGCTTTTTAATGGAATTAGTTCATATCTTGGGTTTTAAGAGGTTAAAGGGAGTAAGGCAACTAGTCTCTTAAGAGATTAGTTATTTATTACATTACATTATTTTATTATATTTTGCTATGTGTGGCTGAGCATGACTGACTATTGTTCCCTTTATCAGAACATGGACAATATGATGGAAAACGCTCGTGAAGGATGTTGGTTTTTTAATACAACTTTGACATGAAAGCAGAATTCTACAGCGGAACTTGGAGCATTTAGGTGAAGTAGAAAATAAATAGGAAAACTCCTTCAATCAGATGTAGGCATGCAGAATAGAGACGCTATGTACTCTAAATAAAAAAACAAACATTTTAATATTTATACCTTCTCAAACAGATGACAGAGAAAGATGTCTTGAGAGGTGGACAAGTATTCTGTATTATTTAGGTGCCAAATTATCCTCTCTGTGTTGGAACTACTAGTAGACATGAACAAATAATGCAACCAGTTTCTCTGTAGTTCTGAGCTTAAATTAAACAGTCTCCCTCCCACCAAAATACAATACTTTTCTCTTCCCACCTCTGCAGATGCCAATTTTTTGGTGAGTAGCAGAGTAATTGAAATAGGATTTCCTATGGTATTCAATCCACTGGATAGATTCTCTAATGTCTGATGTGCTATACATGTAAGTTGAATATTTTATTCATGTGAATTTTCTGCTGTCTTCTTCCAAGAGTTATCTTCACAGTACAAGCTTTTCTTACCGTGGCACTAATACTCTTTTTTTTTTTTTTTTTTTTTTCAGCCCAT